GATTCGTATTCATATGCACAGACACTATGTCCTCTAGAATACATATGCAATTCTCCCGCTACTTTAAAATGGGCCATTGCTCAATTTTGAATAGGAAATATATACAATGTAATGCTTACTCGTATGAAACAGAGGCTTTTAATCCATATGTGTGTAATTACCATGCATTAGTTATGATAACTGAATTACCTAAAAATTGGTTTAAAGATAGAATGCTAAATTTCATTATTTTCAAAGTAAGTTACTTTACATGGAAGCCATAGTTATCTAAAGAGTCTCAAAACGCAAAGTATAAATTCATATTTAAAATATATATCAGCTTGATGCTTGCTATAGATTTTCTTATCCTTGAAGTGAAACTTAACATAATCTCAGAACCAAACATATATATTTGTACCTCTTTTTCGGTTGAAAGGCAAATTCGGTTGGCCAAGAGTTGTTCAAGACTGGCGCAGACCTGATGCTCCTCGAAAACAGAGCATAGATCGCTGGTTTCTATGTACGGCAGGCAAGCCTCGCAAGTTAGACGGTAAGGGACACCAAAACGATGGAGAGATACGTCTCTATCAGATATGTCAATTGACAGTTCCTAATAAAAACATAAGCATTTATGTAAATATTAGAAATATATAAGTTCATGATAAAATTTCAGGCTCTAAAAATAAAAAATATGCTATTACTGAAAAATCAACCTGACTAAGCAAAGCTTAATTCGAAGCTAAATTTATTATCGGCTTAGAACACCAATGTTCCTTCATCAACGGGCATAGAACAAGGTTATATTTCATGTTTAATGGAAATAAGGCAAATTCAAACTAAATAAATAAGCAAGGATAACGTTATCTTTGAGAAAGATTACCATGACAACCAGCAGCCTAAATCCAACATTTTTATTTTAAGTATTTTCTCAGAAGAGTTCGGAAATAAATAAAGAATATTTGATTTTTTTATTAATATGTTTTAAGAATAACAATAAGGCTTGAATATGATCTGTAAACGCTCCTGGTCGTATAAGATGGTGAAGAGCTGTTGGATAAATTTTATAACAATCACTTAAGATGGTCTCACGATGTCATTCTATATCACTTAGACATGCCGCCCTCAAGGAATTCTTATTCGGTGTTGATTAAAGTTTCTAACTCAAATTATTATCATCATCACCCCCAACTGGAATCAAATCTAGGCGGTACAGGGCTTAGTTTTGACACATTATTACTGGACCACACTGCCGCTTGTGACAGTTGACT